AAAAGTGTAAATATACATACTTTTAGGTACTTTAAAGATCAAGATGTATTAGCACAAAGCAAAGCACAAGCTAGCATGTGAACCAATTGATATTCCTCAATTTTATTTTAAGAGGAATATACTATAGCTACAAAGATAACTTAAGAGTTACCATTACATGACAAAATTGGTGAAAATATTTCTCATTAAGTCACACTTTGGCTATACCTGACTTGCTGCAAAAACAGATTAGTTAAATAAATAATTACTGTACTTTCAGATTCTGGGATGGAAGATAAATTTATATGATAAAATAGTGAAAAAAATCTCTGAAATGGAGAAGACTTCAAAAAGAAAGAGAACAGGACAGTTGACAAAACTTTGGCAATTCTTGTTGCAAAATCTGAACAGTTCCTTTCTGGAAAGGGGGAATGGTTTGACTACCTGGAGCCAAACCACATGTCTTACTTTTCACTTTCCTGAGTATGACCCAAAATAAAGTGTACTGGGCCAAGGGAAGCCAAGAGATGGATGGAAGTTCAGTGGCTGAAGATTAAAAACTAACATTCACATTAGAAAAGAAAAAAAATTACACACTGATGTTTCAAAACTATATAATGTCCAGCATGCTCTTTTGCAGCTTGTACTTCCCCAAAACCACAGCAGGTTGTGTTTTGTTTTTACAATGCAAAAATCAACAACAATTCTTCTGACACAGAACTATTTCAGGAAATTCAATCTGGCAGTAATAATAATAATTTTAAAACCAATAAATAATAAAGAGAAATACCGCATTCCATGTTGACCTATACTGTGTAAATCATTCTTTCTCGGTCATTTTACTGTAAGTAATAGATATTAAATGTATGACTCTAATGCACCCTGTCTGAAAGATCATGATCTAAAAGGACTGCATGTGCAATGACTACCCAAAAAGGTTGAGACTTCTGCAGTACATAAATTTGGGATCTGGAAATTTCAAAGAGCCCCAGTCTCTGTATGAGAAACACACCACCAGCTAGGAAGTTTATTAGGCACAGCTCTCCTTGCATTTCTTTGGCACAAGAAAATTGGGTCTATACATGTACCCAAAAGTCATCTTTGTGATACTGTCAGAAGAGTGTTGTTGTTGGGCTGATGGAAATGATTTCGTGACATGATCTGAGAAGGCTAAACATGCAGGTTGCTGTGTAATCATAAAGCTGTCAAGTCACAGATTGTTTTACATAGTTTGAGAGCTGCCTTCAATTATCCTTTGCAAACCTTTGGGTTCAATATCTTTGATCATATATACTTTTACTGCCACTCTTGCAGGGTGTTTGGCTTCCACTCTGAGGCAGATGCTGACAGTGGCATAGAAAGGGTTAATCTGTAAGCAGTAGTTTTGATAGAGTTTTATCTTAAGCTTGACAGTCTGGGGCTGAGGAAAGATATAAAGTCTGGAAATCAAACAGGGGAATAAATGTTTCTACAAGAAGCCCGCTGTATGGTCTTAACTATTAGGCCACCTGCACACTTCAATTTCCTTTACTTCTGGGCTATATAACCCTTGGGGCTTAAGGGAAGTGCACCCTGTCTGAGGATGCCCATTTAGAAGCTATGGGGAACTAGAGAGTCAATTAAAGGATAGCCTGGATAGTTGGTTATTTAGGGACCCAATATGATCACCTACTATCTCAGTGGTTCTCAACCTGTGGGTCCCCAGGTGTTTTGGCCTACAACTCCCAGAAATCCCAGCCAGTTTACCAGCTGTTAGGCTTTCTTGGAGTTGAAGGCCAAAACATCTGGGGACCCACAGGTTGAGAACCACTGTACTATCTCATCACATTGATAAGGTCACATAGGGCGATTTGCCAGCCTCTGTGGTGAATTGGTGGGACAGCGGGGCAATCTCACTGCCCCACATTCTACCGCATCCAAAGAGCTACTTTCCCATTCCACACGGGGAAGCGTCACCGCACGGCTACCCCACATGCTAGCCGTGTTGTTCCTTACAGAACACAGGAAGCTTCGCATGTTCTGGGCACAGGGTCGTAAGATGCTTGTACCCACCGGAAGTCAGGGTGTATTGTGTGATGGGCAGCATGGGGCAACGTGGATCAACTGGGGTGCAAGCATCCTACAGCGTTTGCAGCTCCCTTCGTGATGAAGTCCTTACTGTGAAGAGATGCTGGATCCTAGTTTAAATGCTTCTCTGCTCTACACCGCATGCTGCATCATTTGCCAAGAATGCCTATCTTATAATAGTAATGTGTATCCCTTTTGGTACCCTTTGGGAGATCTGGGTCCAGCTCCATACACCTCCTACAGACAGTGCTCTGCAAGCAACCAAATGCCTTGCTTGCTCAGTTGAGCTTGGCTTGATCATTCATTTATGAAAGCAGTTCAAGCCCACCTTAAATCTAACTATCTCTAATGACATTTGAGGCAGTTAAATCTCTGAGAAGACTTCTAATTCCTGGTTTCATCAAGTGTAATTGGAATTGTGGCTCTAAGCCCCTAGAATGCATTTAAAATGGTAGCCAAATTGTTTTAGGCTGTAATCCCAACCACATTTGCTTGGAAGCGTGTTCAATTGAAAACACTTCCAAACAATGCATTTCGGATTGGTGTTCCAGCCACTATTAGGAAACTTGGAAATTATTTTAAACAACATCTAGCAGGGATATCTTGATACCTAAATCCAATGAAGTGCGATAAGCAATATGATTTTCCACACAACCACCACACCCATGACACACACAGGAAACAGGCTGCTTTTTATACTTTGCAGATTTTAAAATGGAGTATTTGGATTATGCTCAAGCTTTTTAGATGAACAATACTAAAAGGGAGACTGTGGGGTGGAGAGGCACACTTCGGGCTCACACATTCTAAGTACATGTACACTGAAAATGGCAGTATGTTCCAAAAGTGTTTTTTGTGAGAAAAAGTGAGAAACACTTGTTGACTGTGTGTACTTTGTGGAAACTCCCACACTAAATGCTCACACTGCACATACTTTTCAACAGTTTAGAGATGAAAATTATCATAAATGTAGCTGAGATGGCTAAATACTTCCACGAGGAAGAACAGACACACTAGAAGAGTCAATATCCTTTCACTTTTGATTAGTCTAGTGCAGTGGTTCCCAACCTGTGGTTCATGGACCACCAGTGGTCCCCAAGAACTAAAATATGTTCCGCAACCTCACCGTCACTACACCATTGCAACGAGAGTGACTGGTCTTGCAAAATCCTCTTATAGGCAACAAGGATGTCGGGAGGGGAAAGGCTGACTACCCATGAAAGGCACAACAACAAGCCTCCTGGCTACTGCTTCTTCTCTTCCTCCCTCACCCTGAGCGGAGCCGTTCCATGTGACACCAGGGGAGCCTTGGTGTTTTCGTTTTTAGGCCTGTTCCTGGAGCTATTTGGGATGCAGATCCAGAAAATTGCATTGGATAGACCATATCAGCTCAGAATGATTAAATATGGTTTTCTGTGGGTGAGCAGATGGTGACTACTGGATGGCATATGTTCTGTATCAGAAACTAAAGCTGATGTAGAAGGGGCCTAAGTACTCAGCTGAAATTTAAATGTAAAGTTACTGAAATGCTAGAAAAGTGGGTATTGAAAAGTGGGTCTATCCAATGCAATTTTCTCAATCAGTACCCCAAATAACCAAACCGAATCTAAAGTTGACCAAAATTGATTTGCAACCCTTTTGATTCTGCTCCATTGCCTCCTTGCCAAGTTTATTGGATACAAACTAATTTTTTTTCACTTTGAACCCAGTTTGTAGCAAATAAAGTAACCTGAGGACAAAAGTAGGAGAAGTAGAGAGATTCTGGGACATTTTAAAAGCAGATTAAAAATCAAGATGACAAAGGGTTAATTGGTAACATCCTTGTCAAGCCTGGTTCATCAGCAAAGTCCAATATATTAAAAACAACATAGATCTACTTTTCCCACTAAAATGAAAATCACAAAAAAGTGGAAACTAGTGGAAGGAAAAAAAATTCCTGGATATATTTTGGAGGAAGCTTTGAAATGAGCTCTAAACAGTTTTACTGGAAATTGTTCTTTCATTTCACATGGGCAGAGTGTTCACTCTGAATGAAAAGTTTGGTGAAAACTGTTGAAGCATTCTTTGCTTTGGTGGTGTAAAAACCTATCACTATCTTTTCATCTTTCTTCTGTCTGTATTAGAAAACTAAAAAAGAAGTTTCCAGGAAGACATCTGCTTCATTAACTGAGGTATGCCTGTGCTTAAATTAAGTTGCAGGTCAGAAGTAAGAGAATTATTTAAAATCCTTCAAAACTTATTCATGATTTCATAAAATGGTTATATCAATATTAAATATTTATTTTTACAATGTTTTGGAAAGATTGAAAATTTGAAAGGTAGCTAGGAAATGCACTAATTAGTTAACCAACTAATGTGTGTATGAGGAGACACAGCAACATCTGAAGCTAAAAGGACAGTTGGCTTTTACTCCAAATCTTCATTTACCTGATTGTTGTTTTTGATCCTCAAAAGTTAATGAAACAATTAAAGTTGCATTAATTGACTTGTCACTTGGGAGCATGTCTGACCTGTGGGCCTTAATTCCTACGAAATGTGCATAGGATTGCACTGCAACTGTTTTATAATATAAATTGATCTTCCAGAAGGGGATAACTCTCAAGGATTTCCAAAAACCTGTGTTCGATTATAGCCGGTTTCAGCTTTACCCTGGGAAGCTGAACTCATTGCTTAAGGTACGGTTGAAGCCTTTACAATTGTGGGTAGCAACAACACAACGTGCATTAAAGTATTCTGAATAACATTATTTGTAAAAGGGACCTGGCTTATCACAGCAAGCGAAACCACAAGAGGATTGTAAGACAGCAGCACTGCTGGGGAATTCAAAGAAAGGCACGTTCATTCGTTTTTGCCGGCTAAGCCTAAGCCTGGCCACAAATTCCTCACTCTGGGTAGGCTAATCTAATGCATTCCATATGCGCAACACAATCCATCTTCCAAATTCATCCACTCACCGTTGCATCTTCTGAATTCCCGTTAGATACTTCTACTGCCCGGATGGTTGTGTCCACCCTCACCTTTGCTCTTGTTATAAACTGAATGACAGATGAACTGTCCTAAGGATTGAAAAACAGTCAGAGTTGAGGAGCACTGTGAAGCACACTGCCTTGAAAAACCTTTTATCCGCTGGCACTCTCATGGCTTTAAAATAGAGACAAACTCTACAAAGCACTATTGCAGATCTAAATACAACCCATCCCATTAAATGTGATATGCTGGAGTACTGTTTTCTTCATTTTCAAACTTGGTTCTGAGCTGGATGGAAAATGCTCCCATCAAGATATATTTCCCAATAAAAAGACTGGCACAGGCTGCCAAACACCACCAGCAAAGAGCATCTTAACCCAAGAGATTTTCACATAATTAGGAATAGATATTGAAATGCAATTACTTAAATTAAACTTGCAAACAGTATCAGTTAAAATATTTTACTATTAAAATAAATCCTGATATGGCACATTGGAAAAAGCTCATATATATATGCTTTTCCCCCCCTTTTGCAAGAGTGAGTTCCTCTCATATTTCCTACAAAGGTTTCAAATATAAATGATCCAGCTGGTTAAGTTGTTGAATTGCATGCCCTCTGCTGGTTTCAGATCAGCATTTTAGTATCTTCTTCCCAGAAGTTTATATGATAGTGAAGTTTTCTGATGTGAAGGACCAGGCAAGGTTTCCCACCACTCTGCCACAATCTGCAAACATATTTGTGTGCATTTGACTACAAACAGAATTTTAATGCAGACTAAATAACTAATAATTCACTAACCAACAGTAGTTCAAGGACTACCATTTTGAGTAGAATTGGCTTAGGCCATAAACAGCAATATAAATTTAGTGATGAGCATATTACTGAGCCACTCCAAGAGATATTGCAGCTTTGTGTTAAGGAAAGATGGTAACCTTCTCAACACCAGAAGCTACCCTGTTGTCACTTGAGCCTTTTCTGGTGATGGGATAACATTTTCTACCACACTGGATTAAAACAGTCTAGTTTAGAGGATTGATGTCAAGATGTGTGATGTACATAGTTTTGCCCTCCAAGGGAGACAAATGGCTAAAAGGGTCAGGAAAACAACTAAGACCTCGCTGCTGCCCAGGAATGTAGCTATTGGGGGAAAATTAAAGTCTTGTGGCCAATGAAAATTCCCATCAAGAGCCACATTTCTAGCATTTCAGTAACTTTACATTTAAATTTCAGCTGAGTATTTATGCCTCTTCTACATTGCCATATAAAATCCAGATTATATGACCCGAACTGGATTATATGGCAGTGTAGACTCATATAATCCAGTTCAAAGCAGATAATATGGATTATCTGCTTAGAACCCTAACTCAATAGACTATAGAAATGAAACATGGCAACAGGCACGTGTAGAATCCCAGTGCGCAGTGTGACTTCACTCAGACCCTTTCTACACTACTCTATATCCCAGGCTCTGATTCCAAATTATCTTGTTATTCCAGATGATCTGGCTGTGTAGACTCATATAATCCAGTTTAAAGCAACCAATCTGGGATCAAATCCTGGGATATAGGGCAGTGTAGAAGGGGCCTCAAATAGGAAGGGCACAACAGACCCAACTATGCCTGTTACATAATTTTGTTTTAAGAGTAAGAAGCATTTTAAATACAATGGTGAAGACTCCTATTTCTCTAGAATATAAATTTATGGGTTGTCTATAGTGTAAAAAAATCAGAACCAGGGTCTTTAGGAGTGGAAAAAAGACCAAAGAAATATAAAAACATATCAGTTCCATTCAAAAAGTTTCTGTTTCTAAGAGCTGCTCAAACACAATCATGCAAATATCTCCAGTTTAGTTCTCGTTATGTGCCAGATTATGCAAAGAGCACGTAAAATTAATTCAGGCAGTAACACTCACCTTTTTTAATATTTCAGTGTTCAATAGCATCTGGATATCTATGTTGCGGGATTCTGCTTTTGCTAGTGAGCTTAAGTTGCAATGTATAATTAAACAAGGTCTGCCTGGTCTGTCACAATCCTAAGGGAGGCAAGCAGAAGGCTGTCAAGCAAATGAAGATTGGGGTTGGGAGATAAAATGTAGGCACTGTTGAGTTTTGGATTAAGGACAACATTCACTGTGTTGTTGTTTTGTTCATTCTTGTTCACCTTCATAAGAAATATCTCATTGATAAAGCGGAACTTGTTGTCCATGCATTGCAACCAAGGCTGGCTCTACTCTGCCCTATATTCTAGGATTCCATCCCAGATTAGTTGATTATCCGAGATTATCTGACAATGTAGACTTCAAATCAGATCTGGGATCAGATCCGGGTATATAGGGTAGTGTAGATCCAGCTCAAACTAACCAATTTGAGACCTAATGAGGGCATGGTTCAACACCAAATTCTCACTGTGAATTTTACAACTTCAAGAATAACAACAAAATCCATATACCCTTGGAATCACTTCATCCATATAAACAGGAGCCACATAGAACAGTATGGCATCCTATCTACAGACTCAATATTCATGTTTTCACTTACTCATGCTTGAAAAATATTCCCTTGGACATGTTGGTGGGCCTTTTTGGTGTGCTTCTTGTGCAAGCATCATCCAAATATATGGTTTATCTACAGTTCAGGTATTCATACAGGGTCTTGGAATGTATCTCCCATGAATACAGGGGTCATACTACATAGGCATTTAATACTGACTCTATGCAGCAGGCTAAAATGGAGTATTCTGGTAGCTTCACATCCCCTTTCAGGTTGTAATTCTACAACTTAGTGAAAGCTGCTGCCTGCTAGCAAAAAAGATGGAAGAGTGGTTGAAATTAGGATAAGGCCTGGTGATACTTGTTTTTGAGCACATCGAAACAGGGTTGTGCGTAAGGGTGAATGAGTGCGAAACTAACCTCATTTATATACTTTTCTCTCATTGCCAAACACAGACAGAAAGTGCCACATGTATTCACTTGACTTCTAATGGTTGTAGTTGCAATTAAGAACCTCTAAACCAGTGGTTCTCAACCTGGGGTCCCCAGATGTTTTTGGCCTTCAACTCCCAGAAATCCTAAAAGCTGGTAAACTGGCTGGGATTTCTGGGAGTTGTAGGCCAAAAACATCTGGGAACCCCAGGTTGAGAACCACTGCTCTAAACTAACTGGGCTTCAGCATCTATATAAATAAAAATGTAATGTTCATTTGTGGGATTAACATAACTCAAAAACCACTGGACGAATTGCCACCAAATTTGGCCACAAGACATCTACTATCCCAAGGAGTGACCATAACTAAAAAAATGATTTTGTCATTTGGGAGTTGAATTTGCTGGGATTTATAGTAAACCTACAATCAAAGAGCATTCTAAACTCCACCAATGATAGAATTGAACCAAACATGGCACACAGGACTCCCATGACCAACAGAAAACACTAGAAGGGTTTGGTGGGCATTGACCTTGAATTTGGGAGTTGTAGCTCACCTACATCCAGAGAGCACTGTGGACTCAAATGATGGATCTGGACCAAACTTGGCACGAATATTCCATATGCCCAAATATGAACACTGATTGAGTTCGGGGGAAATAGACCTTGACAATTGGGAGTTGTAGCTACTGGGATTTATAGTTCACCTACAATCAAAGAGCATTCTGAACCCCACCGATGACAGAATTGGGGCAAACTTCCCACACAGAATCCCCATGACCAACAGAAAATACTTAAGGCCATCCAGTCCAACTCCCTTCACCAGGGCAAGAAAACGTAATCAAAGCCCTCCTGGCAAAGAGCCATCCAGCCATAGATATAGATAGATATATATGATTCACACACAGAGAGATATAGTATCATAGTTTTGAAAGGGACCCATAAAGAAGGACAATTATATGTTGAATGTTCTAGAGTAGGCAAACCAGACAATCTCCACACTAACATTGATAAAGAAACAGCAAGAAATACTGTTTACCCACAAGCATAAAGAAATTACATATATTAGAAACCAACACTTCCTAATTACTTCATTTTCCAGATCACCAGACCGGGCCACAGCAACATGTGGCAGGGGACGGCAGCTTGAGCAATATATTTCTTTTACAAAAAAAAAAGATAAAGAGAAGAGATTCTTACCAGGACTCTTCTACCGGACTTGGTAAAAAAAGCAAATATTGTATGAAAAATATTCTCCTTTTCTTGAGGAATGACACATGGGGTTGGGTTTCTCTGAAAAGAACAGTTTCCTTTGTCCTGTGCAACCTAAAGGAAGACCAAAACAAAACACATATAATTTACTTGTACGCCAATCTTAACTGCACAAAGGGCTTGTTGTTAGGTTATGGGAGCAGTAGAGTTACCATTCTCCCATGCTTCCATCAATGTTAATAACAGCATTCTGACAGTACTGGAAGGGTACAGGTAGGTTTTAAAGACATTTGACAGAATCAAATGACTGTGTCTTATTAAATTACCCAATAAACTTAATTTAGGGCATAAATTTGCTTCCTTCATCTCATATATCTGGTCATTTGAAAGTTTTTGTACACACAGGGTATCCATTATTTTTCACCGCTGATTACTTTATTCTTATACATTAACTCATTAGATCTTGGACTTGTGTTTTTTATTGACTCACTGGTTCTGCTGCTCAGGCAATACTGATTAGATGGAAGGAAAGGGCGCCTACACTGCACAAATTGAAAAAATATTCCTTTCAATAGATTTGGTATTGCAAGTCACCATACCTTGAAATACACCCGAAAACTGATATGGACCAACACAGAATAAAATACAGCACAGAGCTAAATGAACAGCTCATAGTATTGGTTAAAATGTTAATGTATAAACTAGCTGACTGAAAGGCATTAATAATTGTCATGTAAATTATGTCATGAATGACTTTTCAATTATTTTAAAGCATAGGTTCTTTTTATTGCAATTTCCAGTGTGAGAAGGTATATGAGATTACAGAAAAATTTAGACAAAGAATTGACATTGAACATACAGACATACAGATTCTATGCAACTACATTGGACTTACAATTACATTGGTTAACAAACAAACAAAGGGAAGGTACATTTTCACTCAACATTCACACACATGTACACGCATTCATCCACATGCATTTAAATGTTACCATAGCATTTCTCCCTCCTTGGCGAAACACCTGTTAGGCCAGACCCTGATTTCTTGCAGCCTGCCAATGCATAGTTCCATAACTTCCATAACACCAAAACTTCAAAACGCTGAAATGTCAAAACTTCTTTCCTTAAGAACAATGCCAAGGACCAGATCTCTGTTTTCCATACAGCAGAACCTGATTCCCTGCACAAAATCCAGGACTCCAAAAGCACACTTCTTCCTCTTCCCTTGAAAAAGAAGCCTCAAAGTAACCAGACTGCTCCCTTGCAAATCTGCCACTCTCCAAATACACCCTCTCTCCTTCCCATGGAGCAGAGCATGGCGGGTGGAACAGACTCCTCAGTCTGCCACAATTTGAGCATTATTAGTCTGAGTCTTTTATAGGAATATTCTGTTGATGTAGTCCCAAAGTTGTAAATTAATGATAGACATCTTGATAGATTGAAGGTGGTGCTGTTGAACGCCAGATCTGTCAACGGAAAAACGACCTTTATCCAAGATTTAATCCTGGATGAGCGGGCAGATCTGGCGTGCATCACGGAGACCTGGCTGGATGAAGCTGGAGGCGTGAATCTTACCCAGCTTTGTCCTCCAGGCTTCTCCGTACAGCACCAACCGAGATCCGGAGGACGGGGAGGCGGGGTTGCAGTGGTCTATAGAGATTCCATCCATCTGACCAGGAGCCCCATCCCGCAGACCACAAATTTTGAATGTGTCCACCTGAGGGTGGGTGACCGGGACAGAATAGGGATTCTGCTAGTGTACCGTCCACCTCGCTGCACTACAGTCTCCCTACCTGAGCTAGCGGGGGTAGTCTCGAGCCTGGCGTTGGAGTCTCAACGGCTTCTTGTGCTGGGAGACTTCAACATCCATGCCGAGGCGACCCTCACAGGAGCGGCTCAGGACTTCATGTCTGCCATGGCAACCATGGGGCTGTCCCAACAAATATCTGGCCCCACCCACTGTGCTGGACATACATTGGACTTGGTTTTCTGCCAGGGATGGGAGCAAGGTGGCGGTGTGGAGGAGTTGTCCATCTCTCCGTTGCCATGGACCGACCACTTCCTGATCAGATTTAGGCTCACTGCCCCCCCTAACCTCCGCAAAGGTGGAGGACCCATTAAGATGGTCCGCCCCAGGAGGCTTATGGATCCGAATGGATTCCTGACGGCTCTTGGGGATTTTCCCGCCTCCTCGGTAGGTGACCACGTCGAGGCCTTGGTCGCTCTCTGGAATGGGGAGATGGCCAGGGCAATTGACGTGATCGCTCCGGAACGTCCCCTCTCAAGTAGCCGAGCTAAACCAGCTCCTTGGTTTACTGAGGAGCTGGCAGTGATGAAGCGAAGGAAGAGGGAACTAGAGAGCGTGTGGCGTTCGGACCCAAGCGAGTCAAATCGAGCACGGTTTGTGTCCTTTCTAAGGGCATATGCCGCGGCAATAAAAGCCGCAAAGAAAACTTTCTTTGCGGCCACTATTGCGTCTGCAAAAAACCGTCCGGCGGAGTTGTTTCGGATTGTCAGAGGTCTTTTAACTCCCGCCACCTCAGGCGGGAGCCCTGACAATTCGGTCACGCGCTGTGAAGCATTTGCTCGGTTCTTTGCAGACAAAGTCGCCTTGATCCGTTCTGGGCTGGACACCATGTTAAATGCAGTCTCCGAGGATGTGACACGAGCACCTGCTTGTCCTATTTTGATGGATTCTTTTCAGTTTGTGAAGCCCGAGGATGTGGACAAGATACTTGGAGGAATGAGGCCCACCACGTCCATCCTAGACCCCTGCCCATCCTGGCTTCTGAAGGAGGCCAGAGGGGGATTGGCTGAGTGGGTAACGGTGGTGGTTAATGCCTCCCTTCGGGAAGGCAAGATTCCAGCGAGCTTAAAACAAGCTATTATAAAACCGCTGTTGAAGAAACCATCATTGGACCCCACTAAATTGGACAACTTTCGGCCTGTTTCCAATCTCCCCTTCTTGGGCAAAGTCATGGAAAGCGTGGTGGCCTCACAACTCCAGGTATTCTTGAGAGACACGGATTATCTGGATCCGGCACAGTCTGGTTTCAGACCGGGACATGGTACCGAGACGGTCTTGGTCGCCTTAGTGGATGATCTGCGCCGGGAGCTCGACAGGGGGAGTGTGTCCCTGTTGGTGCTCCTGGACCTCTCAGCGGCCTTCGATACCGTCGACCACGGTATCCTTCTGGGGCGCCTTGCGGAAATGGGCCTTGGGGGCACTGTTGCAGTGGCTCCAGTCATTTCTGGAGGGCCGTACCCAGAAGGTGTTATTGGGGGACTCCTGTTCAACACCACAGCCTTTGACCTGTGGGGTTCCACAGGGCTCTATACTGTCCCCCATGCTGTTTAATATCTACATGAAGCCGCTGGGTGAGATCATCCGGAGTTTCGGGGTGCGGTGTCATCTGTACGCAGATGATGTCCAACTCTGTCACTCCTTCCACCTGCTACTAAGGAGGCTGTCGAGTCCTGAACCGGTGCCTGGCCGCTGTAATGGTCTGGATGAGGGCGAACAAACTGAAATGAAATCCAGACAAGACAGAGGTACTCCTGGTCAGTCGCAAGGCCGAACAGGGTATAGGGTTACAGCCTGTGCTGGATGGGGTCGCACTCCCCTTGAAGGCGCAGGTTCGCAGCTTGGGTGTGACCCTGGATTCATCATTGAGCCTGGATCCCCAGGTTTCAGCGGTGACCAGGGGAGCATTCGCACAGCTTAGGCTCGTGCGCCAGCTGCGCCCGTACCTCGGGAAGTCTGACTTGGCCACGGTGGTACACGCTCTGGTCACATCCCGCCTTGACTACTGCAACGCTCTCTACGTGGGGCTGCCCTTGAAGACGGCCCGGAAGCTTCAGCTAGTCCAGCGCGCGGCAGCCATGTTACTAACAGGAGCGGGACGCAGGGAGCACACAACGCCCTTGTTGTTCCAGCTCCACTGGCTGCCGATCTGCTACTGGGCCCAATTTAAGGTGCTGGTGTTATCCTACAAAGCCCTAAACGGTTCCGGCCCAAAATACCTTTCGGACCGCATCTCGGCCTATGAGCCCACGAGGGCCTTGAGATCGTCTGGGGAGGCCCTTCTCTCGAGCCCGCCTGCCTCACAGGCACGTCTGGCGGGGACGAGAGAGAGGGCCTTCTCGGTGGTGGCCCCCCGGCTGTGGAACACCCTCCCTGTTGACATCAGACAGGCGCCCTCCCTTATGTCTTTCCGTAAGAGCCTAAAGACATGGCTATTTGAGAAGGCATTTAATTGAGAGCTACATTAAATGGTAATGACAACGGGAACGGAATATGGATTATGAGATTGGTTATGATTCTACGATAAGACGGAGCGGATTATTTAGTGTAATTTATTAGTGTGTATTAGTGATATGTTGATTTTTAGTGTGTATTAGTGATATGTTGATTGTAAATTGTCTTTTATATGTTGTACACCGCCGCGAGTCGCCCTAGGGCTGAGAGCGGCGGTCAATAAATGCAGCAAATAAATAAATAAATAAATAAATCTTCCATCCTGGATCCATCTCAGTTTCCTGGCCAGATGTTGATCTTGATTGATGTTGATCTTATGTTGACTTCCTTCTTAACATAAGGAAGGTTGCAAACATTTCCTTCATCACTGTCCCAGTTCTGCCCCAGGAGCTGAGGAGCCTTCTAATCAAGGTGAAAGAAGAAAGTGCAAAAGCTGGGTTGCAATAAAACATTAAAAAAAACCCCAAGATCATGGCAACCAGACTGATTGATAACTGACAAATAGAGGAAGAAAACGGGGAGGCCATGACAGACTTTGTATTTCTAGATGCCAAGATTACTGCAGATGCAGACAGCAGCCAGGAAATCAGGTGATGCTTTCTTCTTGGAAGGAGAGCAAGGACCAATCTCGATAAAATAGTGACGAGTAGAGACATCACACTGGCAATGAAGATCCGTATAGTAAAAGCAATGGTATTCCCTATAGTAACCTACGGATGTGAGAGCTGGACCATAGGGAAAGCTGAGCGAAGGAAGATAGGTGCTTTTGAACTTTGGTGTTGGAGGAAAGTTCTGAAGTGCCTTAGACCACAAGAAGATCCAACCAGTCCATACGTCAGGAAATAAAGCCTGACTG